TACGTATATATTGTATATATGAATATGTGTGTGTGTGTGTCTTTTTTCTCATTCCTTTGTTCCTCTCAGTCCAGATCAATCATCAGTCCACTCTGACCCCTCTCACTCTGATTGGCAGAAAAATAAAGAGCTGATCTTTAAAATATTCATTAATTTATTGATTCATCTTTTGATCTTTGGGGTCAAAGGAGCTTCAGGGTTTGGTTATCTGGTTAATATGAACACCTGCAGGGTGGCTTAAACGCTGACCATCTTCTCATGGGTTTCTATCAAAAAGTGACAAAGAATCGAAGTTGTAGAAAACTCTTTGAACAGCCTGACTAATTAGAAGCAAAGTGGATATTTTTTGCAGAATTATAAGAGCTCTAATCTCTAAAAATAAGAGAAAATGATCTAAATGTCTTTTCAGATCTTTAAATTGTTTTTTATGGTTATTTACATACCTGAATAATAAATAAATAGCAGAGGAAGCATCAGTTTTAGGAACAGTTTCAAAAAATGTATTGCAGGAATCATTATTTCATGTAAAACTGGTGAAACTGTCTAAAAAAATAGTGTTTTTCTGAACTGTGTAACTTCGACTCATTTTAACCACATTATGATGGCTTGTTTAAGTGGAGTCATGTCTTAAAACAACTCCAGTCTTCAACATATCCAGACTTAGGAAGGTGAAACCTTTGAGATTTTGTCTTTTTAAATCCAACTATTGGATTATGATCCAAACACTGACATAAGATCAGTTTGTATTAATGACTGATTCAAATTTAAATAAGACTTTTTAACAAAAACTAGAAGCTAAAAAAATCTAATCATTTAAAAACAAAATCCTAACATGCTAGACAAAAAGAAAGAAAAAAAATGGTGGTGATGCAGTAAAAAACTGCATCACCATCAAGTATGTGTCACCTCCAGCACATACTTTGATAACATATAATAATGCATGGGGTTGCGGATAATGTTATTTTCAAGGTTTGACCAAAAAGCTGCCAAAAAGGCATGTTTCTCATGATGAAATTATCTTTAACTAAGTGTTTTTGATGTTTACGGTTGGTATTATCATAATAAGATGTTCTGAAAGTCTTTAAAATCCACTCATTGTTTCAGCTTAGAAAGTCCACCTCCGTTAACCTCAACATCCATCCTCAAACTCAAGTTCAGCAGGATGGTTTTATTTTGAAAGGTGTTCCGTCTGCCGACGGAACACCTTTCAAAATAAAACCATTCTGCTGAACTTGAGTTTGCTCAGGATGGATGCTGAGGTTCGCAGAGGTCCAGAGCTTCACACAGTCATGGTCATGGTCAACCGACAACATACGGAGAGACAACAAAAAGATGGGGACGTCTAGTTGGTCAGTGCAAGGTGCAGGTGGGGGTTGCAGGAGGAAGGGCGGATGCGGGGGGGTGGGGTTTAGATTGACCTGTGACCTCTGAACCCTAACCCCGACAGAAGGATTTGGGGCGTACGTCAACGAAAGGAGGAAGGGAGGAGGCGGTGAACGGCAGAGGTGGAAGGACAAAGAGGGTCCGGTCCGAGGCTGGAAGATGGATAACCTCCCAGCGGCGGGATGAGGCCAGCTGGGTTACCATCACTTAACGAGGAAACAAAGAACTGCAAAACCCCTGAAATAAACTGAATTCTTTATACCGGCATTTTTAGGAACAAAGCCCACTTTAGTCCCTTTAACATCAATGAAAAATTATTTAAATGTATCCTATGGGATTAAATAATCTACAGTTCTCTGCAAAAACTTCTGTTTGACCATGACTTTTCTTATGACTGTTCTCTGTAATCCTAAATATCTTTTATTTGTTTTTCTGGCCCAGATGCAGATGAAACCTTAAACACAAAATTATTTTGTTCTCAATAGAATGAAACCCCAACATCAGAGCCTGAGACTGGTATTTACAAGTCCCATTTTGGGGACCCCTCTTTGATTTATCGACCAGCTGTGTATAAAGCAGAATCAGTTGTAGCGCTGAGGTCAACGGATCAACGAGATGCTGAGGATCGGCCCAATCAGGGTGGGGGTCTCTGACTCTGAGCAGTCAGCTCTGGGCGGAGACAGCTGCTGTGGACGTGACGGGATCACACCGTCCTTTGGGAATTTAAGAGACACCCTCCAATATGAGGTCTCATTGTGTTCCTGTGATTCCCTCAGAGTTAAATTAAAGGATCCTCAAAACAAAATTTGTTTCTTTTTTCTTCCACCAGTGAAGGTCAAAAAGCTGTTAGTTCACTTTAAATGAAGGATTCACTTTACAGCCTGGCCCATTCCTTGTCAGCTCTCTGTGCTGAAGTTATTAAAATGGTCTGAGAAATAAATGAGACCACCTGGATTACCGTACCAACTTTATTTATAAAGCTCGTAAACAACCATAGACCAAAGTGCTGTACAGTCACAGTCAATAAAACACACAAAGGTCACAGTGCATAATAAAAGCCTAATCCAAAAATAAAAACAAAAACACGTAAAACCGATTAAAATTAAAATTTAACACTGCACTGCAAAAAATGTCCACCTAACCAAGTTTTAAAACCTTACATCAGCCAAAACATGTCTTTTTGATCTTGTTTTGAGACTGATTTACTAAAATAGAGCTGATTGTGTAAGAATAATCATCTTGTTTTCAGAATGTGTAAGATTATTTGTCTTGTTAG